AGCTCTGAAACCAGTGAGATTTGTGGGTGTTGTTTCTGCTAGCAGAGGGTTACATACACTTTGTGTGGTTCCTCTGAAGATTATGTCTCCTGTAGTCATGACCCTACCCCTAACCCTATTGGTTGACAGTAGCATTGCTCCCGTGGAACAGCTGCCATGGGAGGCCATTTTGAAGAAAAGCAGAATGCCTGGTGCTCTCATGTAGGTGGCAACACCCAGCATATTCTCGCATTTCACAAATATTTCATAAAACTGGTGGGGTCCAAGCTCTGGTGAGAACAAATGGGAAGATTTATGTGCACAATATACCCCAGCTTTGGCCCCTTCACACCAGGTAAAAGGGCCAGGGCAGCGTCGTGGTGCCCTAAAAGCTGTGCATCCCCTCTAGTGTTTACCTCAACCTGCTAACTTGTGTTAAAATTACCATTGCGTGGTCCATAGTAGCATGCTCTCATGTGCTAGCTAACACCAGTAAGAGCCCACCTTTTTTCCTAGTGCGGATGCACCCTCAGAGGCACAGCACATGCCATGCCTCTCTCACCCCAGGGTCTTTTCTCTAGAAAAAGCATGGAATGAATCAAAGTCTCTGTTATTCTCAGTACATTGATCTTCATAAACTATTCCAGCAATGGGTTTCTTATTGAAAATTCACAATTGTTTTCTTTTTAAAAAGTCGCTGACCTTGCTGCTAGCTCACACCCTTTAGGCACAGGAACGTTCAATTTAACAGGGGGAAGGAGAAGGTGTTGGCTGCAGTGTGAGACCCTAAACAGGATAGAATCCTGTAAGCTGAACTTTATAGTGGTCTTGGTAGGTTACCAAGAAATAGAATCATATCCCCACTGAACTTGAGTTCAAATGGGTTAACTTTCATTAGGCTCAGAAATTTAGCGCAAAACCATGGTAACTTTAGGGTATATTCTTCCCTTGATATATGCAGTCAATTCACATTAGCATTAATGATTTTCATAATACACTGAGGGGAGAACCCTTTAGCCTTTAATTAGTGTCTTAATTTAAATTAAGAATCAGTGTAAGTATTTTGTCTTGTTTCCAGTGTTTTTATTTCAGTCATCTTTACATGGATTTGAAGATTAATTCCCTTTCAGTTATTGTAATAACTCTCTAGTTGTAGAACATAAACTAAATAAAAGTTAACCGTATCTACAAAAGCTAATGGTATAAAAAGACAGAAATCTCACAACCCCCCAGTCCATTCAGAAAAACTTGGTTCATGTGGAGATAAAAGTGCTAGCGATAATTAGGGCTGCTAGAAAATTTTCTGTTGAAAAAAACTGGTTTTCTGACTCTTACAGGGCTGTTACCTCCAGAGTGCTCCTTCATGGGCTGGGGAGGCTCTGCAGCAGATCTGCCTCAGTTTCCCCTTCTCAGCCTGCTTGGGCAGCTGCAGTGACTTGCTGTTGTAACTCAGTGCAGTAATTTGACTCTCTGGCCAAGTCATTAAATAAAAGTCCACCCCCTTCTGGAGTATCCAAGTCCAAAAATAAATTCAAAATAAAGGCTGTCTTACCCAGTTCCTCTCAAGCCCAAATGACTCTAGTGAGCATAAGCATGAGAATGACTGTGTAGCCTGTAGGCCCATGTAGTCTTTGGAGGGAAAGACCCAGGATCCAGTCCCCCTGCCAGGTGAGTATGCTACAGGCTACACTGATCAAGTTAGTAAGACCAAATGGGACAAATGCCCACTTTTGCCAAAAAAGTTGGGATAGCAAGCACAGGACTTAAAAAAAGGGACTGTCCAGGCCAAAACAGGATGTATGGTTCCCCTACTTAGAATACGCGCAGGAGAGGTGGCAGAGCCCTGTTGAAATCCCTTCCCCCACGAGGTAGAGGGGGAACTTGAATTGGGGATCCCACACAACCCAGTGCCCTAAGCACTGGGCTAAAAGTTGTGAGGGAGGTCCTCCCCCCGCTGCACTGTTTTGTGTGAGCTTGACTGAGGGGGCCTGATCTGATAGCTGGGCTCTGAGCACACCTACCAGATTGGCCCCCTCAAGTGAGTTAGATGGCTGAACACCTAACTTCCCCAGGTTTGTGAATCACTCTGGGGCTGAGATGGGAGCGAAGTGCCCCGTTTCCCACAGGGAGGCAGCAGTGTGCATGCCCAGAGGTACAACTTCTGCCAAGTGAGCTCACAGGAGTTCTGGGCATCTCAATGGGACTTAGGTGCCTAAACAAGGGACTTGGGCACCCCACTCCTTTTTGGACATTCAGGCCTTAGTGCCTTTTGTCTGTACGGCACCAGCTCTTTAATTGTTGTTTTAATTATCGTACACACTCTAAAGGATTGTTTTGATTCTGACATTTTATAAACTGTAATAAAGACATGACTGATGTGGGACTGCAGTCTGAAGTCTTTGCTCAGTTCAGGCAAAACTCCTATCAGGCCAAGTTCTTAGGTATTCACTCAGTTTTATTGCAAGCAAACCCAATGTGTCACAGTTACTGGGCTAGCTGCGTAGCTGTCCCTTCTCGGAGTCTCACCGAGCACACCCACAGGTGCACCCCTTCAGGCCTTTGCCTCTTCTGGGTCAACCTAGGCCCACTCTTGACCACGACCTAGGTTACAGCCTCCTGGGTACGGACTATGACTGCTTCAGCGAGTACAACAGCATCTGCAGCTGCGAGCCATTTGTTCTGCAGGAACCTGTGACAGCAGGTAGTTGCAGTGAGACAGAAACAAACCTCTTTAAAACCAAGCGGGATTTATTCATGTCTCAAAAGTCCCAAGCAGAGAGAGCAAAGGGTAAAACAATAAACGCCTCCTCACATTGGTAAGCTCCCCTCAGCCCGTGGAACTCCACCGCGGGCAGGGAGAAACAGCTTGCAGTGCAGCAGCACGCCCCAGGGCTCTGTCTCAGTCAGACTGTGAGCCTTTTTACTGACATAGCCTGGCCAGCCTCTCTGGGTATGTCTACACTGTGATTAAAAACCCACACCTGGCCCATGCCAGCTGACTCAGGCTTGTGGGACTCGGGCTGCGGGGCTGTTTAACTGGTGTGTAGATGTCCGGGCTCAGGCTGGAGCCCAGGCTCTAGGACACTGCAAGGTGGGAGGGTCCCAGAGCCCAGGCTCCAGCCCACGCTGGAATGTCTACACTTCAATGAAACAGCCCCATAGCCTGAGCCCGATGCACTCCAGTCAGCTGGCATGGGCCAGAGGCAGGTGTCTAATTGCAGTGTAGACATGACATACCCTCTCAGCTCACCCAAACAATTTCCCTTTTGTAGGTCCTTGATCTTTTGGATCTCCTTTGATCCCAGGCTTTAGCCTTGGGAAGAGTAATCTAGTCTCACCTGAATGGATCCCTGCCATTTCTCCTCAAGGAGCCTTATCTTTGCTATAGCTCTGTTTCCTGTGGGTTTCTCCCTCAGCAGCGTTTTTTGATGTAACTCCTGGCAGTCTGACAGATTACTCTCAAACAGATAATCTGAGGATACTTGACATTTATACACATCCCAATTTGTCACCTTAAAATTTGGCCTCATAAGAATTGTCACAGTGGCAAAATAAACTTCAAGAATTTGCCGCCTTTACCTTCCCTGGGTACAATATGCTAAACCTTCTCATGGATGGAGATATGTGGTGGTGCACCTTAAATGTCAAAGGGAAATTACTGGACAGAGCAAACACCCCTAAAACCACTTGGAAGGCACTGTTCATGTTGGAGATAAGGCCAAAAGATCAACATATGACCCAGAATTTAGTCTCTTAACGGGTTCTGCTTTCAATGTAACTTATGACCCTTGGAACCTGGCCCACATTTTCAAAAGTGGCCACTAATTTTGGGTTGCTCGGTTCTTGTGTTGCCAGTTTCAGACACCTGGGGCTTGATTCTCAGGTGTGCTGAGCAGGGCCGGCTCCAGGCCCCAGCATTCCAAGCAGGTGCTTGGGGTGGCAGTCAGAAAGGCAGCAATTCGGCGGCAGCTCCTCTGTCCTGCCGGCCGCGGCAGCAATTCGGCAGCAGCTGCTCTCTCTCCTGCCGGCCGCGGCAGCAATTCGGCGGCGACAGGTTTTTTCACTGCTTGGGGCGGCAAAAACGGTAGAGCCGGCCCTGGTGCTGAGGCCTGGAACTCCATCTGAAATCAATTCTGCTCCAACTAAATTTCAACGGGGCCTTAGGTGCTCAGCACACCTGAAAAACAGGCCCCTATGCATCTAAAGCTGGGCATCCAAAATTAGAGGACATTTGAAAAGTTGGCCCTGCATGTACCTCTTATGTTACCAAAAAAGCTATTTTGCTGTAATTCCAATTTTATTTTTTAATTGAAGACACACAGGCTGGAACTGTTAAATGGCTTATTCATTAAGAAATCTTAATTAGCTTCACACATAAGCACTATCAGTTGTTGGAATTCTTTTCACTAATTAAGTATCCAAAATCCCCTCTGCAGCAATTTCTTAGCGTGGCATGTCTAAGGCAGCCAATAGCCAGCACAGCACAACATTTACAGTAGTGTCTTAAACTGCAGACAGTGCAGCCACCTACATAGATGTTTAGTATAAAGGATTGTTAGTGGAAAGTATGGGAGTAAAATTAGACCCTTCCATGATGTTTGAGGAGCCAGATTGTTTAGTGATTAGTAATGGAAGAGAGGGTATGTCTACACAGCATTTTGGAGCCGATGGAAGTGAACCTCCCAATCTGGTCTGACAGACTTGAACTAGAGCTCAGGCTCTGAAGCTTGGGGGGGTGGATGTGAGTATTTGCTACTATTCCACTACCGTACATATTTATCCGGACTGTCTGGCCTACTACGCCACCAATGTTTCCCAGAACTCCTACATGTGTCAGGATACAAAGTACTCTTCCAAATTTAATTGGAGGCAGAATAATGCCTCAGGGGCTGTACAATTTGAACTGAGAAATAGCTGTGGCAAAAGATGTTTTATTTGGTTTGGGTTTTTTAATATGGATTCCAGGACTAGGGCAGAAAATGCAATTCCCAGATGACTAAACCACTAAATGAAGTGACATCCAGGTTTGATGGAATTTATTTTAACCATACTTTAACATATCCACGTATTGCAATATAAACAATATACCAGTAAGTACAAAATATTTTGATATAGCACCTTTCATCAATAAAGATCTCAAAACGTTTCACACAGACTATCTGTCTGTTGATAATGATCACTTAACCCACAACCAAAATTCAGACAGTGCGAGAATGGAGTGAGCTTAGTGAAGCACGACACAGCTGCTTCGGACAGGAAGTGACAAAGTGGCACAACATCATAACCGAGTGAGTGGAGTCTGGGACATCAGTTGTGGAAAGAAGGCCATCTTGAGTGGTCATGTAAAACCCAATCCTGTAAGATGTTGAGCCTTCTCACCATCCAACTCATAATGTTATATTAGGTGGATGGGAAAGTTGCCCCTTGAAGCCTTGGGAGCTGCGTAACTAGGGAGGCCTGAGGAGCTTTCATTCCCTAGCAGCCATCAGGAATCAGCTATTTTCCTGAACAAAGCCCTTAAATCGATGTGGAATGTAATCCGAATTGGGCCAGGGTTCGCAGATCAACCATATCACCTCTGAACTTGTGAAAAGGACCAGAGGTCCATCAATAGTCACCAGTGGCCAGGGTCTTGGTTTTACATCTGCATCAAAAATAGAGGCATTATGATCTTGGCACATAAATACAAGTTAAATACAGCTGAACCAAGTAAATAATACTGGTGTACAATTTTGCTTCCATTTCAAGATTTTGTATGCCAGGTTTTGCCTCATAGTAAATATTTGCCAGAAATATAACATCTGAAATTGAGGCACTAAGATGTTAGAGTTTTTTGTTAATATTACTGTACTTATATCTAGTTATTTAAAATCAATGTACAGGTCGCCAGTATCTGTTTCTACAGTGCCTAGCACAATAGGGCTCCAGTTTCGGTTGGTGCCTCTAAATGCTATTACAATGCAGTAACAACGATAGGGAGAGAAGCGGAAGGGCCACAGGATCTGCATTTCCATGGATCCTGCCTTGGGGCATCTGGAGCTGTGCTGCAATAGCAGCCACAAGGGCCATACACAGCAGCCTCCTGCCCTGGTCACAGATATTGTTGGGCCAGGGAGTGGATGTGATGGTCCCAGCTTTTCCGAACTCCACCCACTTGGTGTCTGGCTTTATGTGGGTGGAGTGGATTTCACCCTGACATCCTGTTTTACAAGCGAGGAAATGTTTCTACCAGATGGAAATATTTTCACACTGTTATTGCTTTAAAAAGTTGAGCCATTACTTCCTTTGCCATTAAAAAAGAGATTGTAGCTCCACCTAGGAGAGTTCTTTGGGCTGGCAAATGCTGCATAGTCTATGTTAAATGTCTGCAAGGTCAAGTGGACAAATGAATCCTCTCAACAGGATTCTATGGGCTGCATTTCGTGATCTGAGCATGTGTAGAAATCTACTGCCTGATTCCTAAGGTAACCATACAGAATGTAGAAGCATTACAACACTTTCAGCCACCAAGAGTCTATTAAAAAGAGAGATTTCCTCTGTTTTAGACCTAACACATTCTTTTTCGAGGTGAGGAAAAAATGATAAAGCCCTGCTTAAGTCATAAGTCCTTCCCCAAGTCAACCTCATGTTTAATGAAAAGCTAGAATATGTGAGACGTGTGGATACATTTAGCACATTCAATATTTACTTCATAATGAAGATAGAAATATTCTCATTCCAAAATGTAGTTTGGCTGTATAATTGTGTGTCACATTTTATCAGGGCAACACAAATGAAGGCTGATAGTAACCCTTTATTTATATTGCTTTTACTTCTTCCCTTTGTTCAAGTTTCACATTCTGATATGACCAATTCTGTCTGTGTTCGTGGGAAGAGGCCAACATGGAAACCCTTTTAAAAATACCCAGAGAGACTTAGAAACCAATGTATGGCAAATATTGGGGCTTAAGATTGAGGGACTCCATGGGAGCCAATATGGCTGGGGATTTCCTGTCAACAGACAGAGAACGAGGTGTGCAAGTTCTGAGCTTACACAACCAATAGTAAACAAAAATGGGATGTTCTGAAAACTCAGGCTGCAAAGACAATAAGTGACAACTATATCCTGTGTTAGTTCGTGTGTGGAGATGGCACACGCTATGTGATTATGTACACAAACCCAAAACAGCCTCCCAAGGTAAAGATGGTCACTAATGACTTGGGCTTCAAGTCACTGAACTAGAAGTGAAAGAGGTTGTAATCTATAACAAAGGGCTCTCCATGTATTCTTTATCAAACTGGACCTACATTCTTCAACAAGTCCTGTGGCATTTCAATGCTGAGTGTGCTCTCAATTCCCACTGACTTATACCATACTGCACATACAGCATACAGTCACTTTCCCCCATAACACCTCTTTACAAAGCAAAGCAGTTTTTCTTTTAAAAAGGAATGGACTGACCTGCCAAATGCAAACTATTTTTACTGACTGCAAGTGACGGACTGAACTCTTATTAATGTCAGGCTGGGCAACCACTTTGTATTATGGATGGTCATTTATTTATTGTTTTATCATGAGAAATAAAATGCTACTGAGGCGATACCAAAATATGGTGACATTTATAAGATGTATTTATACAGTAGTGAGATACTGTTAATATTTACAAAGAGGTAGGATATTTTCAGAGACCTGCCCAGCAGTTTTCCCCTTAAAAACTTGATTGTCAGACCTCACAGAGATTTTTTTATTTTAAATCAGATGACAAATTATCCAAACTGCTGGGATATAGTGCTACCATCATGTTTTCCCCCTCCATGATTGCTAACCCAACTATAATCATGTCTATAATTTCTCCTGAAATCCAGACCATTTGGACAAAGTAGGTAGGTCCATTGCTTGCAATACTTGCCAGAATGAAAGAGAAGCAACTGAAAAAGAAACAACCCTGCATTTTCTTATAAAATGAGATGAAAAAAATAAAGAGAGAACTGGAAAATTCAAGTGTATTTTCTTCTTTATATTTAAAGCTCTTATTTCAATATATAGCACTTAAACATTTTTTAAATAATTTTTTTGATTACCTGTTTCATCTCTGGAAACAATTAGAGTAATTTCACTATACATTTGTGCAAATAGAAAATATATAAATGTACTCAAGCCCATGTCATAAGAAGGTGGTTTCAAGAGTTTCACTTTTACAGCAATTAGTTGGGGTCCCTTTAATTTGTTCCTGGAAGTCGTTTGAGTACTTCCCTGTTAAGCCTTTGAAGTCCTGATGCAAAGAAGATATGGAGCCAAGCACAGACACGTTGTCCTGTACTTCATTTCGTAAACGACGTGGTGACTGTTGTAAAACTCTCCCAAACCGACTGAACAGGGAAGTTGATGTGATCCAGTTCAATAAACTGAAGCCTGACTGGTCAATTGTTGTGTTCCATGGGAACATTTCTTCTACAGACATTGACTCCATCTCTGAAGTGTTGTAATTAATTTCGTGAAATCCCAGGGATTGTTCTTGACTGTTTGCCACTGAGGAGTGTTTATTTCCCCCACATAATAGAGCTCCAGGAGAAGAAGCAGTAACCCTCAATCCTGCTGTGTGTTCTGCCTTTGTATTTGATGGGAAAGCTGGGTCATTTCCATGCTGAGATGGTTGCGAAGGCGGGGTTTGGTTGCAGGCCTTAAAACAATCACTAGCATTTGACTGAGGATTCTGTGGGGAATGTTCTGCACAGGGTGGCTTCTGGAGAATGGATTCCTTTTTGATATTCAACCTGTTCAGAATCTGGTTGCGAGTCTCTGGAGGTAATCTATTCAACTGGCGTCCAAGCTGAAGTTGAGTTGGGAAGACTGTCCCCTGAAAGGTTCTGTACAGAAATCTGAAGGAGGAAAAACGTACATATGAAAAGAAATCAAAGAAAGAGGAACTGCTTGAGATTTTATCAAGAGAAAAATGTCCACCGAACAGAATATAACAATTACTTTAACAGAATGAGAGTTTACACAGGCAAGTACCACAGTTAAATCATTTTCTTTAGATTTGACATTTAAAATAAAAAGATTACCCAAAGAGCTCTGAGTACCCTGACAATATGTGATCTACAATAACTACTCACCAGAGATAATAGTAATACACAAGTAATTTGACTCTGCTAACCAGCAGACTTAAAGAATCAAATGAAGATAATAATATACTTCAGCTGGCTGACAATAAAAAAGAAAAATTAGAAAAAAATTAGAAAAGCCCCTTACCCCCAAATCATATTCAGGCACATCCCTTCACCTTTTCTCCCATTCCACCACAAAGTATAAAAGCCACTAACATACACACACATAGGGGGAAGATACTATACCTGGGCAGTAATGCAACTACTGGTGATATAATACAAATCAAGTAAAACACAGGCTCGCCCATCAATTTTTCCATAGTCCAGTAGGGATTGGATGGAGGATAACATATTGGGCAAGAAACATTATAAACGAGAGCGACAATGAAAAATAAAAGGATACTGAAGATACAAGATGACCAGTGGAGCAAAGTCTAGAAGAAACAGCAACAAAAACTGACTTTTAATTTTCTGGTACAAAATCCATGCACAGAATGTATTTACACCAGTCTCATTTCATAAATCCTTATTCATAGATTCATAGATATTAAGGTCAGAAGGGACCATTATGATCATCTAGTCTGACCTCCTGCACAATGCAGGCCACAGAATCTCACCCACCCACACCTGCGATAAACCTCTCACCTATGTCTGAGCTATTGAAGTCCTCAAATCATGGTTTAAAGACTTCAAGGTGCAGAGAATCCTCCAGCAAGTGACCCGTGCCCCATGCTACAGAGGAAGGCGAAAAACCCTTAGGGCCTCTTCCAATCTGCCCTGGAGGAAAATTCCTTCCCGACCCCAAATATGATGATCAGCTGAACCCTGAGCATATGGACAAGATTCACCAGCCAGATGCCCAGGAAAGAATTTTCTGTAGTAATTCAGATCCCATCCCATCACAGGCCGTTGGGCCTATTTACCATGAATATTTAAAGATCAATTAATTGCCAAAATCATGTTATCCCAGGATTACAAAGCTGCTCACTGCTCGCTGTTGCAAACCATTTTCATGTTTGGTTGAAATGCTTGATAAAAACAGACAGCGCTGAGGGAATAAAACACGCTTTTCTTGATTTTTAAAGAGTGACACACTAAGGAAATAGGTAAAATATCCCAGAAGACTCCTCTATAATTATCCTGTGGACGACTTACCCAAGTTTTGGTTTCAATAGCCAGATGTAATATGATGGTAAAAAGAGCTATTGTGGTGATGGGGGTTCCCCAGGAGAACAGATCCACCTCTGAGTCATAGTAAGTCTGAAAAGAAGGAAAGGGGCTTTACTCTAATCCTGTATTTTCTAATCTGCTCCTCACATTGCATGAAATCGGATGTCTGAATGGATAACTTACGAAAAAAGGGATGAAAAAACAAACTAGACTTTGATAGAGTGCATCAATCATGTTCATCCAAAACATGTGTGGTTGGTACTCCTGTGACACAAAAACACATAGTAAGAGTCTAACGAAGAAGCCATTTGTTAGTACCAGACAAAAATCTGAATTGAAATGTATTTCTTCCAGTGCTTGTGCAGACAACCTCATCACTCTTTTCCCTTCCCAGGCCAACAAACCCCACCCTCCTGATGGAGTGATTAGTCGGGATTTCCATGACCTGAATTTCTGCCTCTAAAGCATCTTCTTCGGTGAGTTTTTCCACAAGAGGATATAATTTAGAACTAAGCGCCTGATCCACCACTGACTTGCATATGTGCCTAATTTTATCCATTATAATTAGTCCCATTGACTTCAGTGGAGTTACATACTTGTGTTATTCAAACTTCAACAGATGCTTACATCTTTGCAGGACTGGGGTTTAAGGGCCAGATTTTAAAATGTATTTTGGTGCCTGATTTCAGTGAGGAGTTAGGCACCTAAACACATTTAAAAATCTGGCCCTAAGTGTTCTACATATCAAATGAAAGACTATGTATTCAAGAAAGATTAAATATGAAAGTATGCAGCTTACATTGAAAGGAAAATCCACAACAATATTCAATGTATATTTACACAGCAATATAATCACTCCTTAAGAAACAGTACTGAATTTTACTAACACATTAGTATAAACAATTTAACCATTTTTTACATTCACATGAATTATCATACAGACCAACTGGGTATAGAGGAAATCATTTTGTAAATATCAGATCTGCAAAATGCTCATTTATTTTACTAATGTTCTTATTGTGGGTTTACATTTCCTGTGATAATTTTTTTTAATGAATTCATTAAGCTCCTTTTTCCTCTAGCTCACAGTTTCCTAAGCTTAGAAATGAGACTCCCATAAAACTCTTGTGTTCTTTGGTCTAATTAAACAACATGTAGACAGATTCAATTAAAATCTTTTCCAAAGAGAAGAGTGAGGATATTACTGGCTACCTACAAGCAGGAATAGTTTAGCAAAATGTTATTTGTAAGTCTTTTTAGACAGATATTCAATAGCATTCAAAGAACCTCAGAATGGACAATGGACTCAGCTTTGAGAAAGAATTCTACTGTGAACATGAAATATTTCTCTTGTCAATCTGCTGACTGTTTTGCCAAACTAATCCATCTTTTACACTGGTTTGTCAATTAAGAAAACCAAATAAAACCTCAAAATTAGCTTAAACTAAATCATAACCTAACTATTTTTGTCATCTTTTAGTAGGGAAGTAAATAGGGGCATTTATTTTGTGGAACTTTAATTGCAATGTTTTGAGCAGCAGGCCAAAGGATGGAAATATAAAGCCCAGAAACAACAGCCGATAAAAAAAGAGGATCAAGACAAACACACCGAAAATGAGCAGCTCTGAAATTCTCCACCTCTTCTTTCAAGTATAGCATCTAGCAATATTACTAGAAATGTAATGCACCAAGTACTGGGTGCACTGTTGGTTGAGAGAGTCAATGACTCCCTTCAGAGGCCAAGTTGTCTTTGAGGAACCTGTTGTAAGGCCTCTGATCAAGAAGACATCTCTTGACAATGATAGTTTTGCTAACCTGAGAAGCCACCCTTCCCCCCTCATGATAAAACTGCAGTTGCAATCAGCAGAAATGGTCTAGCTTGATGGCCTTCTGCCCCTTTCCTTGCAGTTTACACAGAAATGGGCTGCAGACAACTTGTTTGCCATAAAGGGTTTTTGACTCTGTAACTCACTTCACTACTTGGGCCACCAGATCCCAGATTTGTTAACCCTCTGGGCACACTTCCAGGTTCATCCTTCCCCCCCTTGTGGAAGGGTGGGGACTGAACAAGTTCTTGGTTTTGGTGGGTAAACAGCATGATGTGATGGTAGGAATAGTCCATTTTACTCTATTACACAATATATAAAATGACTTATTTTGTGTTTATATTTGAAATTTGTAACAGCCGCTAATTCCTCAAAGGGTAGGTGCTCAGTATAAATTGGGGAGAAAAACAAACCCACCAACAAACATAAATCCATATATTTTAAGACACTGTTTACAAAAAGGCTTTTTTCTGGCATATTTAGTTTCTGGCATTTAGATATTTTGGTTAGGATTATTATATGGTATGTCTATGCTGCAATGAGAACACTGAGTCTCAGAGCCCAGGTCAGCTGACTGGGGCTTCTGGGGCTCTGGCTGAAGGCTATAAAATTGCAGTGTAGATGTTTGGGCTTGGACTGGACACCAGGCTTTGAGGCCCGCCCTCCTCGTGGCCAGCTGGGGGTCTTTTATCCCAGTGTAGACATACACCTAGAAATGCTAACAAGCAAGAAAAACAGTCTCTCAGACTCCTATTCTTTAGCTTTATTTGGTGCATGTGTCCTTTGCCGCCAAGCTTGGTTTTCATTAAAATTCATGACCATCAGAAAAAATCTTCTGAAAGGCAAAGCTTTTACCTCCATTTTCTGGCCACTTTTGTAGAGGTGAGGTACACCAATTAGCACTTCAGCTGGTATATCCTTATCCAGCACCCCAGTGATCAGTTGTGGAAGAGAAGAGAATAATAAATTAAAGAAGATCAGGTACCACTGATCAATCATTGAAGAGCCAGAGAACCCACAATAGAACTGGTACCAGAAGAGAAGGGCCACAAACATCTGCAATCAAAACAGCAGGACATAAAGCATAATCAGTCTGGAATTTAAAACAAGTAGGGAAAAAACAGTGTAAATCTCAGTACATCATCTCTCCATGGCTCTGTGAAATCATGTTGACTTTGATTTTGCAAACACTTGCACAAGGGCTTAACCTAAAGTAATGAGTAGTCCCCACTGAGGACACCTGACCTTCTATTATTTATTATTCCCATTCCCACTACTCATGCTTAAAGTTAAGCATGTGTATAAGTCTTAACAGGCTTGTGGTCTTAGATATGATTGGGGCTTTGCCTCATATGAAATTAATTTTCAATCCAATTATAACTCTCAAATACAAAATGTGGCTAAACATAAATGAGTAATGACACCATTTTTGTGTGGAGTTCCACGTATATTTCATGAATGCAGATCTCATTGTGTTGTTTATTACTGTTGTAAAAAGGATCATGTTTCTATTTCAATATCTTGTGTTGGTTTGAGAATTTTCTGGAGACTTAGCTAGCTCACAAAGGCTCTTTTCAAGACTGTAATGAGAAAACAAACCCACTAACAAACATAAGGAACAAACATAAATCCATATGAAATAAAGCTCCAAGCCTCGGTCCTGCTTACGGTCCTGTTCTCCAGATTTGTTGATTATCCACCAAACAATCACAAAAATTAAAAGCAAATCATCTGAAACTACTTGGCTGTAATTCCTCAAAGGCTTTCCCTGCTTTAACTAGCTAGGAGGGGAGAGGATGTGCCCTCTCCCTTAGCTCCCGTTTGACCCAGCTTTCTCTTCCTTTTATATGCTGCCCCAAGCAGCCATATGACCAGCTAGGACCTACCCTGCTGCACCTTTTTAAATCCTGCAGCGTGGTTTCTGCAGCAATCTGGGGCTTAAACTATGAGCTAGATAGGTTCTACTGCTGAATGGAAATTGGCACAATACAAGCAAATGTAAAAACCTGAGGAGATAGAGATCTAGCAGAATGTATGCAGCACAGTTATCTTGATTCCCTGTGGACAATTCATCAAGAGTGGTCTCCCTGTGAATGAATGCGGTACTTGCATCTTAGAGGAAGTTAGAATTCTCCCCTGAGGGAAGCCAGTATATGTCTGACACATTCAGGTCTAGAAATTGGATTTCCCACTGTGGTTTCAGGGTCGGTAGCAACTAGGATTGCTCTTACGGGCTCTGAAGGCAGCAGAAGCAGAGCAACCACAAACACAGATTCTCAAGTTTCATTCAAGCCTGGGGGCAACAGCTTCAGAAAATGTCTGCAGTTGGATGTCTTACTGAATACAGCATGAAAAATAACACTTGTAATTGGGGTGGGAGGTGTAGAGGAATGTAAGATTTTACAAGGATTGAACAAAAATGCAAATGTATAAATTGAATCCTTGCATGCTGATCATTGGAATGTACTTACATATATTTCTTGAGAGTGTTTTGATTTAAAAATAAAATCGCTCTGAGTACACATCTCTGAAAGTATAATATTCCACGTCATTGATGAGGTTAAGTACTACCATGGTGATGGGCACAATAGAAATACATAGATAGGAAGGTGCAGAGGCTCAACACATCTCAGGATTAAGCCTAGAAGAGCCTGTGTACACTAGCATTTTGTCACCTTACCAAAAAATGCTGGTAAGTTTCCTGCCATTGCATTACCACAGGTGCCACTCCACCAATGGTAGCAATGGTGGGAGCACTAGCGTAGGCCAACTATTCAAATTTAGCTTGCTTTTTAAGGCTTGGTGAGATCTTTGGAACTTCAGAATTTGGAAGTGTTTACTTTGATTAGTTTTTGAAAGCATGTAAGTATAACCTTCCTGATCAGAACATGCTTCGCAGATTTTATCGTGTCCATGTTAACTCAAAGATCCAGTTCAACCAATGATTATTTTTATTATTTACCTAGCATCATGGTGTTCCTATCAGCAAGTTGAGCAAAAATACAGTCTTGTCCCAAGACAATTAAAAGTTACCCTTGGACTGACACCTGGCATGGAATCTTTAGACCAAAAGAAAATTACGAGCAGGGATTATACAGAAGTTGGAAATCAACCTTAATTAGACCAGGTGCTACTTGCTCTCTCAATTACACACATGAAGCTATATTCTCACTTCCATTATGTCCTGGAGCATCAGGAGTGCTGTATCTGGCCTGGCCGTACCCCATCCCACTCTTTCATGATCCTTACTCTCAACAGAGTGAGCAGGCAATTGCACATCCACAATACCTTCATGCCCGTCAATGATTCTTCCGTGCTGAAGGAAGCCTCAGCTGCCTCTTCGAGTATTGTGTGAGTGATGCAAAGGGTCTCAGGCAGGGCTGAGGAGCTGGGTTTCTAATAGCCTAGTACCTAGTAATGGAGTTATTCATTATTGGCACTAGTGTAACTGGGAGGAGATTCAGGCCCATACTTCGATATGTATTGCAATGTGCTCCTTTCACGGTGTATTTATTTGGCTGAAGGACATAAGGGAAAACCAAAACACTTCTGATATGCTTGGCTGATAGATGGCCCAAATTAGCTCAGATCACTGGGGTCAATTTACAATTTGCACAAACAATTATAAAACAGGATTAGGAAGAGAAAACACACCTACTACTTCAGACCAGCACAGGGTGGACTTGGCATTAAAGGCTCCTATATCTAGCCAGCAAAATTTTTGCAAAAGGTACTGCTTGATAAAGAAACTTTTGTTAAGCAGCACGTCTTATTCATGTTACCTAATTTTCACATTCTGCAGCACACTGTCGCTGTCACATAGTGGGGCCTGCTATTCCTGTGAATGGCAGCCAGCTGTCTTTCAACTCTACAAGCTTGTTTGAAGCTTATTTATAAACCATTTGAAGGCTGACCTCATGCTCACACAAAATAAACCCTGGAAACATGAGGAGCCACAAAACTGTCAAGTCAAACACTTACTGCATTTTTGTAGAAGAAATACAGCACCATATTGGCGATCCGGGAATAACACCAGTGCCCGTGAACAAGCAAGAGCTTTTCCAAATGCCGAAACCTTGGGACTGCAAAGTCACTCGCCATCACTGCCTTCAATGAAAGAAGAGTTGAAATCACTATTGTAAAGTGTCACCTAAGACACACAGACGGTGCGCTGGAGTATCCTGCCAACATCCACAAACAGCCAGAGTAATTCCATTAAAGTCCAATGGAGTTGGATTAGTTCCACCCTGGTCTAAGTGAAAGAAGAGACTGGCCCATTGTGTCCTCAATGCTTTCACAAATAGTTATAATTTTACAGTGTCCAAAAGCAAATCAGGTGCTTCAGAGAACACACAAAAGGACAATGTGCTTGCTCCTAGAAGATTACTATCTTCACTACTACAGAGGGTGACATGAGTGACAAACCGTAGGAAGGAAGTGGGGTGAGGAAGGACCAAGGGTTATAGTCGTGTGATTGTACAGATGCTCATAGATGATGGCTGTGAGCTTTTCTCTTTTTAAGAACTACAAAGAAGACAGCATTATTTTGTGCAGAAGAAGGGAGTTTTCAGGAGGGATTTAAATGAGTGAGATAATAATATGCTACATTACAATTAGTGGAGTTAAAAAAGCAAAACACCCAAATAATTTGTTTTAATTAATTATCATGATCTGGACTTGCAAATGTTTGCCCACCCACATTCCCCTGAGATCTCAGTATTCAGAGGAAATTTGTTTTAACTATATGCAAGTTCCCAAAATTGTGAGAGATCATTACAGAAGAGGTTCCCCTGAAGTTTTAGAACCTGCCAAATCACATCTATGGTATGAATCACCACCATTTCTCTCTATAGCATAGCTACTTTTGACTGGCTAAATTTCAAGGTAAAGTACGCTCAGGATTTAAGATCTCATCATGAACGGAGCAGTATATCAGTTGCGTTAGATCCTGCCAGGCCGTTGAGTTGGATTCCACCAACAGATTCCACCAACAGTTGTATTGCTTTTTAAATTTACATTTTGTTTATTGTCTTATTCATCTGTTTCCTTCTCCCCTACCCATTTTCTAATTCCATTATGGAATCATGAGGTTAAATTGTTTACTTTTCTTTATTTTATGTTTCCACCAAATTATTCCAAACCACATTCTAAAAGTTTTTAAAGGTCTATTTTTGGTATGCAGGGAGGAATGGAAAGATAATTTTATCCAATTACACTTACATGTTTATTTTATCCCAAAATATCAGCTTGGATTTGATGTTTTCGTTCTCCTCCATCCGCCCCCCTCCCCCCAGGTTTTGCATAGGAAAGCATGGTTCGTGCTCCATGCTGCTCCTTCCATAGGATGTGAAAGAAAAATAAATCAGTCAGTTTGCTGTATGAGAGATCCAGATGCTTGACTCCTTTGAAGCACCTGCATGTATACAATTTTGACAGCTGCTTATTGTACAAAGCCATGCATGATTTCCTATGGAACCCTGGGATCAAAGGCAGGGGATCCATAAGCCTTCCCACTACGTGTGAACATTCAATACAAAATAAACATAAAAAGAGAAATAATCTAGGTGGTTTAATGGAATAACAAACAAAATGACAAACTTTCAGAGCAGAATGCACTGAAATGGCTAGGGACACTGAAAGACCAGCTGTCTCAGAATTACTAGATCAACTGAAAAGAGGAATTGGAAGGAGGAAAAAGGAGAGACAGAGAGAGCGAGAGATGTGGAGTATTATATCTGGGAACTAAAATGATGTTCATGAGAAATCAGGGGTTTGAGTTCACACAGAGATGCTAGGAGCCGATTCAAAGTACAATGAAGTCAATGGAAAGACTCCCACTGACTTCAGTAGGCCTTGGAATGGGCCCTCCTACAACAGCCTGCTCAGGATTCCATGCTTGTTAGGCTCTATTCAACCCAAATGTCCTCCCATGCTTGTAAAGCCTGCAGAGGCTGTGTGAGGCGCCCAGGCTCAGCATCTTCTGAGTTTACTCCTTACTCTGATCCGGCTTACAGAAGAAAGCCCTGTTAAAAAAAAACCTATTTCAGTCTTAGCCCAAGCTTTCATCTTTTACTGCCCTGCCATATATAGCAAGCAGGCTGTCGGGAATGATGGACAGAGACACGAGCATACTGAGTGAATTCCCAAACAATCTCAGCAGGGGCAGCTTCTTCCCAGTTGATTGACAGACCAACAGGGAAAAGGTTTTACATGGACTGCATGACAATTAGGGGTGGGTCAGGCTCCCCTCCCCTCCCAAACGAGCACTCCCTTAACTGTCACTGCAGCTACTCACATTCCAAGGGCTGTAGAGTAAAACTCATATCCGACCTGCATGTCCCAGCAGGGAGAGGAGAGCAGGCCTTGTGCACTACTCAGGCGTATTGTCTGAATAGGTTGGCTTGGAGCACAAGTGGCATATGCAGCCTTCTGAGGCTTATACACTTCAGTGACACCTATCTTAGCTGCATTAGGTAAATAGATTTGTCCAGCCACACCACAGGATAATTTTACAGGACCAGTGCAGGACATATGAAGAATAAAAGCCAGAGGAAGAAAATGCAAGGAGGGGAAGTCAATTTAATCTTTATTTATTATAGAAATAGGACATAGCTGAGGGTTTTTTTAAATTAATACCTGATTTCGTTAAAAAGTAAATGTGCCAAAAGACCTCTTGTAATTTGAGTTTTATGAGGTGAATGTAAAATGTGTAAGCTCACCACAGATTGGATAAGAAACATACGCTCGAACTCAAGCATAAGTGATTTTTACAAATCCCAACTGGTACACCTCAGGGCAGCTTGCAACTTGCTCATTTACTTTTGCTGCCTGTCAAGAGGTAACTTGCTCTCGTTGACTGGGAGGCAAGATGCAAGCAGACATACGGAAAACATTCAGTCCAACTTTTTCCTGGGGAAACTTTTCAATAAACAACCCGCATTACCTGCATGCCCTCTGGACCAGAGATCCCCACACCTACGTCTGCCACCTGGATCATACTGACATCATTAGCTCCATCACCTAGTAACAATAGGATGCAACATGGTTTGATATTAATAAAACAGAGATGATTAATGTCAGAAAAACAAAGGAAAAAATAGGTGACTGTAGAGCATCAGTGAGCAAGGATGGCATAGGGATCTGGTTTGAAACACCTGTACTTCATGGAACTACAGTTTCAAAGCCTTAGAAGGGACCACCAAGCCCTTGACGTCTGTCTATCTAGGTTTTTGCTATACCATGCCAAGGAAACATAAACTGAGTACTTCTGTATGAGTAGGTCTCTTTAATGGGACCTGGAACACAGAGGTCACGTCTTTGTTGCATGGGTACTCAGAAGTCCATGTGCAGCAGGGAAACAAACTCCTGAAAACATTCCTGCCGCAAACTAACTGACTGGAAGTATTAAGGGACCATAAAATTGGGCATGAGGCTAGACATAATGAGATAAACTCTGTGACATTAGACTCAGAGTGGGGAAAGGAGGGTTGTGTGAGGAATAAGCAGAGCTTTCTCAATTTAAAGTGCGGGAACCTTGTGGGTGCTGCAGGATTCTGAACTGGATGACTTGACAAAGAGTCCCCACTATCAACCGTACAATGGAAAATGCGTATATGACGTTAATCCCAACTTTGCAACCACTGTAGTGCTGGACAACTGGTGTTCAGCACTGTCACCTACTCATGATCAAAAATTGAGGGCCTTGGGTTTTAATCATGATTAGCTGAAATGACACTGAACACAGATTTGTCCTGATCTATACTGCAAAGTGATGGTCAGTGGTGTCAGCTCACTCAATTTACAAAACGTTGCTCTATTCAAGCACCATTGTGGAGTAGACCATCTCCATTTGACTAATTTCTGCAGGAAGTAATCCCAGATGCCACCTTAGAAACTCTATTTTTGTTTGGAATAAATGCTCTTAAGATCTCAGAAGCATTTTCAAACTAAAATTGAAGCTTTTAGGCTTCTAAAGTGTCCAGAAGAAAAGTGAAATTCCAAAGGGGTGTATGCATGTAAATATAGGCTCATTTAAATGGAGACACTTGCCTATTGCCAAGGTCATTGCTTTGAGTTTATCTCTGACTAGTTTTACTACCATGCTTTTTTGCAGTGGGGTAGAGCGACAACACAGAACTGAGCGACATCTCCTCGCTAGTGAAAGAAATTTGTCTCCTAGTGTTTTATCCAGTGCATAAGCCAGAGTCTTTCCATCAATCACTAGGCCCAAGCTGGAATGCACTGAAGATGAAGGTGGAGAGAGAGGGCCAAACCCAACTGTCATATTTCCAGCAGTCTCGTCTATTGTGTTGTTTGAAAACTTAGACTCTATATACTGCAGACAGTGGTCCAGCAAAGCAGCACTTGTCTCCTGAAATACAATACAAAAATAAATATGCGTTAGTGAAAGTTGCTGCTGTGGGATCATGTAATCAACTTACTGTGCTTGTTATAAATTTAGAAATGGAGAACAATAGAGTCTTCAATATTGATTCCACTTTGACAATTTTTATTTCTATTATTCTTTCCTCCTTGTTTACTCCATCTAAAGACACTTAGTTCTTGTTGCAAAAGATACTGCTAGCAATTGATAAAGGGCTTAAAAGCAATTCTGTTTACTTTTCAACCTGCAGTGCTGTCTTACACTAATTTCTTTTAGCTTGTCCTCAGAATAGCAGAATTGACATGTGATATGAGAATCCGTGCTGAGCTAACTATGGTGATGAGCATCACAGAATGCTTATTAATCAAATCATTAATCAGGTATTTGTAAATGCCAATTAAGGGTTATTTAACTTATTTTAAAATCTATATCCTAACCAAACTTAATTAATAGAATGTATTACTAACATCTGAACATTTAAGATAAAATGCTATCAGTCTTGTAGCAAAATATTTTTCAAGTGATCAGAAATAAAGAAGTGAGATCACAGGAAATCAATTTACCAGCTAACTCGCTACACTCAAGTTATCTTTTCTTTCCTTTAGAAAAGAATTGTAGTTGGATAGTGTTGGTCTACCTCCAATTCTGGATTTGAAAGCTGATTTGATCACCACATTAAATGACTTTGGTGCTATCAACCTGGTTCCTTTTATGTTTGACCATATCAGCAAACCCCTTGCTATTGTGTATTTAAGACAAGCTGAGCAATGCCTGACCGTAGCTCGGGTTATCAGTCCATCATGACTATGAGCACTGAAATTCAAACATTTTCCTTATCATCAAATAAAAAGTCTATGTAGCAGAGTATGAATTACCTAGTATTACAGTCCATTGGCTTGAAAATAATTATTCTCAACAGGCAGTTCATTGTTTTCTCCTTCAAAAACATATGATAGATTGCTTTTGTATTTGCAGTGGGTGCCAATAAGAAACAAGTGAATACTATGTCCTGGCATGTACCTTACGATGGTATGTCCCAGTGGCTCTCAACCAGGGGTCCAGGGCCCCTTGGGGGGCCGCGAGGAGTTTTAGGGGATCCGCCAAGCTGGGTCAGCATTAGACTTGCTGGGGCCCAGGGCAGAAAGCTGAATCCCCACCACATGGGGCTGAATCCTGGGGCCCCAAGCCCTGCCACCCGGGGCTGAAGCCAAAGCCTTAGCAACTTAGCTTTGTGGGTCCCCGGTGGCATGGGGCCCCATGGAACTTCCCTGCTTGCTACCCCCTAGTGCTGGCACCGGCTTTTATATGCAGCAAAACAATTGTTGTGGCACAGGTGGACTGTGGAGCTTTTATAGCCTGTTGGGGGGGGGGGGGGGGGGGGGAGTACCTCAGAAAGAAAAAGGTTGAGAACCCCTGGTATGTCCTACATTAAAATGTATACCAAAGAAAGGCATTCATTCATATTATGTTGTGATATACATTGATGTGCAGTGGTGCCCTCTGTATATAGTTTCAAGTTGTATCATGATATAAGGCACTAAAATCTGGGAGTATAAATAATTAATAAATATCCACCTACAAATCCTATCCCCTAAATATAGATTGAACAGGAAGAAGAAAGATAAAAGAAGAAGAAGAAGAAGAAAGCAATCAACCTTTTAACTGCAGCTGCCAAAATCAAAGCAAAACTAGTTCACCTTTGGACTTCAACCTAACATTTAACCATCTGACAAGGATCTGTTTACCGGTGAGTCAGCATTCAAGGTGATGATTTCCTCATCATGATCTAGTAGCTTGCATGCGTAAGCTATATTAATGGCAGTTTCTTGCTTGTCTCCAGTGAGAACCCAAAGCTGCAGCCCAGCTTTGCGTAAGTTTGCAATGGTTTCTGGGACACCATCTTGTAAACGGTCTTCAATACCAGTTGCACCTGAACACATGAATGAAGCAAATAAATCAATGACAAATAAATACTTGGCTACTCAATCTGATACATCATGAGTTCGTCTTAAAATCTGGTTTTGGAAACACCACCAGTCCCCTTCATTGGCAGATAACTCCTCTAACCTAACACATGTAAATGAAATTCTGACCACCATGATCAATAATGACTTCAGCTTTTTTTCAGGCAGCAGAGGGACTGTGAGGAGAGGGGAAGGATGAGGTTGGGGTAAATAACCAACCAGTCAACAGACATCATCATCCAGAGTTCAAATCCTAAAATTTTATACCAATATGATTCTGTTGAGTTCATCAGAGTTTAACTGATTTACACCAGTGTAAGCTCGAGGAAAATCAGGTTGATTGTGCCTCAGTTAGGCACAATGTCTCTGGGAGATGAGGGGGAGTTTTACTTCTGCAGCACCTGTTCATAGGGTACAGCACATCTGCTGGTTTGCTGGCTGGTGCTGAGGTCCTGTTGCCTCTCTGAGTACTCTGGAGAGACTAGTTCCAACAGAGGTGCTGGCCTGGAGCCATCCATGCAGTTACAAGGAATGCTATTGCCTATGCACAGCCACAAGGGGAAAGATGTATTTCGCCCCGCCTCACTTGTGCAATCCTGCAGTGCTTGCCATAGTGCACCGGTATGTAATTAGACTCAAAGTCTCATCTTCCGCCGTTTGAGGTTGTCAGAGGATAACTGGAAGAATAGATTGTTTATTTCTGGCTGGAGTCTGTTTGTATTTCTCCAGCTGTGGTTAACTATGTTTTTAATTTAGTATTAAGATGTGTATGTACACCCAGCAGCAATAGAAACAGCCGAGTCACATTTGCTTGAAATGATTAAAAACATTAGCACTATTCCAGTTATCTTTGCCAGAGAAAGAAACTAATTGCCTGAAGAAATAATGGATATTTATAATTTGTTGAGCTTTTGACATTTTAGTTAAGTAAATAAATAAAAATACTTAGCCCTTGTACAGTCCTTTACATTTACAAATTTTAACGATATCACAAAATCCCTAGGAAGTGAGTGTTATTATCCCTTTCTTCAGTGCATGCAGGCCCTAATCGTCCAATCATGCAAGTGCTTAACTTTATGAGGATGGTGTCAGGAATCAGGGCCTGCAGCAAAGCTAATCTCCAGGCAGCCTCATCAGTTTAGCTGGCTTGCAGCAGGCTGCCTGATTGGCCACACCACCTGATTGACTGGAGGGGCCAGTGGGCTGCTCTTAAGTCAGCAGCAACAGCAGCTAGCTGGATGCTCAATCTTATGCCCACCACTGTGCCTGTTCCAGTGTTAACTTGTTCCTGCTGCTCCTGTCCTGTCCCCAAGCATTGCCTCTGTCCTGCTCCTGCCCGATCCCCTCTTTGCCTGCTACCCTGCTTGCTCTAGTTCCAGACCACTGGCTTGACCTATGCTCTAGCTTCTGACTAATGGTTCAGGCTCTGACCCTAGACTTGGTTCCTGATGCTCCAGGCTTAAATTCAGCCAGAGCTGTCCAGAGTAGAGCTCTGGTAAATATTTTCAAACCCATGGGGCAGAAGTCCCAAGCTCCTGGCGGCCCCGCAAGGTGGAAGCTCTGAGTCCGAGGGCTCTGGGAAATACTCTTTGAGAATTTAAGCCCTGCTCTAATCACCATTGCCTGATGCCCACTCTGATCACTAGGCTAGACAATCCTCGCCCCAGTTGCCTGACACATGGGCCATCTCAACGAAACCACTTGTGTAAAGCATATGCATAAATCTTTGCAGGTTGAGCACCACAGAGAGGTTACAACTTAGACCTTTCAAAGTACTCCGTACAGGACCCTGACTCTGCTCTCATTGAAATCAAGGGAAATTTTACTACTGACTTCAATGGGAACAGTTAGGCTGACACATAGTACTTTTTGATAATCCTACCCTAAGTGACTTGCCTGAGGCAACACAACAAGTCAAACAGAGAGCCCAGGATTAAATGAGTTCCTACTTCCCGGAGTTGTGCTCACCTCAGTCCACTAAAACCATAAAAACAGTGTTTATGCACATCATTTTGTCGAAGTGTTTGGTGCCCCAGAGGGATGAAAAATCTCAAGTATTTCAAGATGCACCATCACTGTAACGAAAATCTGCAGACAGATTGGGCCAAATCCTGCTTTTCTTACTCAGGTCAGCCAAGTTCATTGAAGATAATGGGTCAGGTTCATTCCCGGTTTTACACCACTGGTTTAATTCAAGGGTTCCCAAACTTGGTTCACGGCTTGTTCAGGGTAAGCCCTGCAGCTTCCATTGGCAGGGAACGGTGAACTGCAGCCACTGGGAGCTGCGAGCGGCCGTACCTGCGGACTCTCAGGTAAAAAATGTGTCTTGCAGCCCGCCAGGGGCTTACCCTGAACAAGCCACGAACCAAATTTGGGAACCCCTGGTTTAATTGGTATTACATCTGGGATAAAATTGTTACCTAAGCAAGGCAAACAGGATGGGTCTTGTGTTAATTATTATCCCATTCTTTTGCAATGATGCAAAAGACACTCGTGAGAAAATCCAGTAATAACCAATTTCTGTATGCATAGAAATCATTGAAAAGATAGAGCAGAGTTTTAAAATCAAACTTTGAAAATGTTTAACACATTTTAATTTCATGTCCAGCTCTCATGTAGTTACCAAGTAGATGCAGATTTGTCTCTATACGAAGTGCAGATTGAAACAGCAGCTCTTCGCGGTTTTCAATAGACGATTCCGCTACTAAATGACTTTTTAGCCAGTTAGCATATTCTTCTTTGCTTAGAACCTATTTAAAAGGAGAAGGTAAGCGTACATCCAAAAAGATGCAAAAGCATTCATGCATTACTGAGTAAAATGAAAAAAAAAACCCTAATAAATGTTCTTGCTAATGGACTGCAACAAAAAGATTTGTCATTACGCTCCTTAAAAGCAAACTAAGAGCTTCATATACTTACTCTCTTGGCAATACACAAGGTCCGCAGCCCGTCTACAGCATACAGATTAAGGTAATTCTGAGTTTTGCTTTGGATTTTTTTTTGATGTTTGCCTCTAGGGTCATCTAGTTAAAAATAAAGGAGAAATTTATGAAAAATAATAGCAATTAAATGGCCTTAGAGAATATAATTGTTTCTTCAGCACTTACTGTACAAAAGCTTAAGAGGCGATACTTTTAAAGAGCTCCTGACGTCTCAGGGGAAACTTTGAAAAGCTTTCTATTTAGAAACAATTCTCTTCACATACTATCTATTTTTTAAATTCCCTCTTTAAAAGTCACCAAGAACAACTGTATAACAATAAGATCTTTCCTTATTAAGCATTCATCTGCTCCTCAAGTATTTTGTGACATCATGATAATCTCCACAGCAACCAAGTAAGTCATGAACAGAGGTATGATTTCAAATTGGCAATAAACAGAAGCAGATGTGCTATATATCAAAAGTCTTATGATTAACCAAATGTTTCCAAATAAATGTGGGTAGAAAAGATATTTAATTATATTTAGAAATAATACTACGTTCTCAAAATGCGGTTGTCAAGAGTTGGAAAGGGATGATATATTCATCCTCCAGGATCAAGACAGACTCAAGTACAATGTACAATCACAGCAATAACCAGTAATAAAAATTAATTGTAATAACAGTGATAAAGCAAGGATCAGCAACCTTTGGCACATGGCACGCCAGGGCTGGGCCGCTTTGTTTACCTGCTGTGTCCCCAGGTTCGGCCGACCGCAGCTCCTACTGGCTGCAGTTCGCTGCTCCAGGCCAATGGGGGCTGTGGGAAGCGGCGCGGGCCGAGGGATGTGCTGGCTGCCACTGCCTGCAGTCCCCATTGGCCTGGAACAGGAAACCGCGGCCAGTGGAAGCTGCGATCGGCCGAACCTGCAGACGCAGCAGGTAAACATACTGGCCTGGCCTGCCAGGGGGCTTACCCTGGCGGGCCACGTGCCAAAGGTTGCCAATCCCTGGTGATAAAGTGAACAGAGAAGCAGACAAGAGAAAGCATTTTAGGTTGAAACAATAGAGTGAGAATACTTGAGAAACCTTGATATCTTGAGGCAGCAATTTTTCTATAAACCAAAATAATTTCTGAAAGTCTACAAGTTTTCTAGGTTTATAAGACATAGGACTTCAGAGGGATAGGCCTATGCAGTGTTCCTCAAGCAATATTGGTGTTATTGGTACTTCTTGCTTTACATGGTTCACAGTTGTGATTGAAACTGGAGATAAGGGGTTAGGAAGGCACGATAGAGTGTAAGCACTTCTCGGTAAGTTTGCTCTCACCCAGCAAGGATATTAGCAGTGGGCCTGGAGAATAGGTAACTTTCTAATATCAGATCAAATGAGGATAGTGATGATTGTCATATTTATCCAGGGTATGTTATGTCTGTCTTACCTATCTTGGACTTTTATACTGGCACTCAACACCATAGTATCTGAGCACCTTCCAGAAAAAATCAACAGCAAAGTCCCTAGTGAACTTTATGGAGTTTCTGGCTCTTTTTCCTTTTCATAGTACAGTGGAGTCACATCTTACATGGGGGTTAGGTTCTAAAGTCAGCACGTAAGGCGAAAATCACGTATTGTCAAAATTACCCTTGAAAATCCCTTACATCACCCATAAAGTACAGTATACTGCACATGATTTTGTGTATACAACCCTGTACAGTAATATGTATAAATGTATAATGTATACAGTAATGTACAGTATATAATAAAGAGTACATATGCAAAATATAATTTTACAGTACTGTATTTTTAATTACAGGGGGTAATTACAGGAGGGGATAATTACAGGGGGTCATCAGGGCTTGATGTCGACCCAGGAGATGGAGGAGACGGAGAGCCTGGGTGATGGAGAGTGAGTCTTAGACGAAGTGGTTGGCTCTGGTTCAGCTCGAGAAGTTGATTGCATAGGCTCATCTGCTGCTGGTTGTTTTTCCTTGAAAAACATGGTGATTGGCAACTGTCGCTGTTGTTTCTTGAGCTGCTCAAACATTTCTTGATACGGTCTCAAATTGTCCATAATACTACATGTGATTTTGAGGCTTCGTTCCATAGAGGGATCGTATTCAGAAATTAAATCATTCAAGTGTTTCACTGCTTGGAACACTTCAGCAAATTTATGAAGATTCCAACTTGCTGGTTCTTCCTGTTCGTCGTCGTCATCTTTGTCTTCTGTAGATGATTTTATCAGTTCCTCTAAATCTTCGTTAGTCAATGTTTCTCTATGGCTCTCAATTAATTCTTCAATTTCTTCCTCAAGGATGTCGACAAAGCCATCACCACCCACTGGCCTGGCCACCTGAATAATGCGTCTCACTTCTTTGTCAATGGTCGGGAAACCCTTAAAATCATTCACACATTCTTTCCATAGGTTTCGCCAACATGCATTGACTGTTTCAGGCTTGATTGCATCCATTGCCTGTTTAATATAAGTGATGCAATCGGCAATGTTGAAGGACTTCCAACACTCCATCACATTAAGATTGGGATCAGCATCCATAGCGCTACGTGTCCGTGAGAACGTAAGCCTCATGTATGTGGCCTCAAAACAGCGAATCATGCCTTGGTTGAGAGGTTGGAGGATGAAGGTGGTATTGGGGGGGAGAAAGACGACTTCAACGTTGTAATGCGCAAACTGGAGTGCCGCAGGGTGGCCAGGAGCATTGTCTACCATCAGCAGCACTTTAAAGTCAAGTCCTTTCTCTTCGAGGTACCGCTTGACCTCCGGAATGAAACACTTGTGGAACCAATCCAGAAATAATGCTGCCATCACCCAAGCCTTTTCCTTTGATTGCCAGAACACAGGCAGGAGATTTTTGTTTTTGCCTGTTAGGGCATGGGGATTTGCAGCCCTGGAGAGCAAGCCCGGCTTTACTAAATGCCTAGCCGCATTGCCACAAAACAACAGTCACACGGTCTTTAGCTGCTTTGAAGCCAGGGGCTTGTCTTTCTGATTTCGAAGTGTAAGTGCGGTTGGGCATTTCTTTCCAGAAGAGCCCAGTTTCATCAGCATTAAAAACTTGTTCCGCAAGATAGCCCTTTTCTTTTATGATTTTCTTTAATTGTTTGGGGTAGGCTTTTGCTGCCTCTTCATTGGCAGATGCAGCTTCACCAGTAGTCTGCACGTTTTTGAGGTTGAAGTGGTTCCTAAAACTGTTAAGCCAACCTTGGCTGGCTTTGAATTCCTTCTCATCAGAAGGCTTTCCCTCTTCAGTGGGAGGTTTGAACAGCGCATAGAGGCTAAGAGCCTTTTCTCGCACTATGTTGCCATCGATAGGCACACGTTTACGGTTCATGTCTTCCAGCCATAAGTTTAATGCCTTTTCAGTCTTCAGTAAAGTCTTATCATGCACCTGGCTCGTCACCTTAGCAGTCATTGGAATGCCTGATGCCACGGCTTGATGAATTTCTCTCTCTCGAATCTTGATGGCATGGATGCTAGATTTGTTGCGGTCATATTTACGCGCCATGTTGGAGACCGACATACCGTTTCTCAATAAGTCCAACACAGCCAGTTTTTTCTCCAGTGTTGGAACAGATCGATGTTTCTTCGGTTGAGCACCAGAGGAAGAATTTGGCTTGCATTTAGGGGCCATGTTGTATGAAAAATACGTACATTATCTTTAAACACTAGAATCACAGTCAGTGCGGCTAGATGCTCACACTATGCGAGGCACGCGGGAACTGAGACCGACTGAGGGAACAGCAGATTCACGTCTCCCATCTCACGCTCACTCTGGGGCACACGCTTATTGAACGGAATGGTGGGCGGAATCACCAGCACTATTTACAGGTATCTTGTTATTTTTCTTTTTTTTTGCCGAGCGCGTATAGTTGACTTTGCGTAATTTAAATGCGCGTATGATGCGACTCACCTATAAATAACTCTGCTTTTCTTTTTGATCTTTTTAATTTCCGTTTTTATTTTTAGGTAGTTGATTTTTTGGGGGTAGACAAAAGCATTATTTTCTTTCAGCATTTCTTTGTTTCAGGGCAGCAGGTCCCTGTCCTAAGCTTCCTGAGCAGTGGCAGTGCACATTATTAACAATGGCTTAGCAGACTTATAGTAGAAATGTTTTTTGTGATTGTTTGCCCAACCTTGCTTAAATCTGGTTTGGCTTCACAACTTCAAGTTTCATGTTTCTTTTAGGAAACAGTTTTGAGGGAATACATATGCATACCAACAACGGAGAGAGTAACTTACCAAAAGATATGTGCTGATACTCAAGTAACTTAAGACAGGTTTCTTTGCCAGCATTCTTGGATTTAGTGTGTACGCAACTCTTTTACAACAATTGGAAAGATAATTCTTTCAAGGATGTCCAGCCTTTAAATCTGGGGTCACTCTTCTGGTAGTGTTACAGTTCTCTTATCTGAAAAATCTGTTATAATAATCTTCAACAATTATATAATCTAAGTTGTTGCACACAAACAGATGGTCTTGTTGGCATTTCAGTAGCATCCTTGTTTGGTTTTTTTCTTAATATGACTCATACACTGAAACTTTCAAGTTTTGCTGACATCATTAATGATACTGTTCAATTTGCTGACACATACACAGCCAAAAAAGAACATCTTGGGCTTTGTTTACATTTTCCTATGTCCATGAACCCACACAATATAATTGTATATTACCACAATGTATGTTCATGTTAGCTGTTATATATAAAACTATTTTCTCACCTTTAAAGATTGTGCCATCCAAAAGCACAACTCTGTAGTTCCATTAATCTATAATGTTCGGAGTACAACTTTTCTAATGTCTGGCCATTCATTATTACTGGATTCAAAACCTTTATTTGTTCATTTTCAGTACCATCTTCACTTTCTGTCATTTTCTGGAGTACCATATGTAGCTGCATGCCCATTCATCCACTAGTGTTATGTGGATATTTTCTTGACAGAGTACCTGCAATAGATTTTATCTTTTCCTGGAAGATGAGCAATATCAATATTGTATTTATGCAATCGGAAAGCCATTCCTGGGTGGTTTTGCCAGAGATAGAGATTGCTTCAGGAATTATTCAAACAGTTCACAAGCTGATTCAGCTGTAACTCAGGGCTGGAACACACATTTACTGAACTTGCAGCCAAATACAATTACATGTAGTTTCTTTTATACACATACATAATTATTCTCTGTGGTGTATGAGACTTGCAAAGACATGGCCTTCTGGGAGCAGTCCTGAAACAAGTCCATTTTTAGATGCATCTAGTTTTAGAGAGTCAGCATTTTTTAAAGGAACAAAACATGGAAACACTGAACCTATTTCATTGTGATAAGGTCTTTCGTATTGTAGAAAGCAATGTTGTTTGCTTGCTTATTCCAGATGAAGTATCTCACTGTAGAAGCCATCACAGTGATGCAGTGATTTTGGATAAGTTTGGTGCAATCTTGGACAGGTTGTTAAAACACACCAAGAACTGTTTCTGTCACTATAAGCTTATGTGACATTAACTGGATCTGGTTTGATACCACCAGCATTAAGAACAGGTTCAAAATATCTTACTCTTTGGAACATAGAAAATGATTTTCTATGGATGAAGATACATACCTTTTTTATGTGATCTCTCATGTACAGAATGAAGGATTGCATCACATTCCTTATTTTATTGAACAAATAATAGGGAATCAACTATGATAGCTGCAATTCCTTTTAATCCTTCATATGCCTCTCATCAGTCTTGCACTGAAATTCACCTTCTGGTCAGATATAAGTAAGTAAATAAAAAGGCAGAGAAAAGGAATCTGCTAAAGTTATCAAAAGATATGTGCTGATAAGCAAGTACCCTAAAACAGGTTTCTTTTGCCAGCATTCTTGGATTTGGTCTGTATGCAACTGTTTTACAACAATTGGCAATTATAATTCTTTCAAGGATGTCCAGCACATGTAGCCAAAGGAATCAGCCAAAATCTATGTTGAAAGTTGATAGCTATGATGTCTGTGCAGTTGTCCAATACCTTGACCTTGCATCCACCCACTCAAACAGTACACACTCGTAAATTTATATGTGATGTCTTCAACAATTGGCAAAGGATGACATGTTTGTTTAATTACTCAGAACCAAAGAGAGAGTCAGGTTTGCTTGTTTGAACTTTTTCCATGACCACATATGAGTTAATCAAACCTGTCATTGCTTTAGTAATGAGAGCTATATGTAATCTAATTCCTGCTCAAGTTGATTACTCAGTTTAAATCAGGGGTTTCAAACTCAATTTACCTTAGGGCCAGTGCCAGTCCTCAAATCATCCCAGCGGGCCAATAATGTCACTGAAGAGGGTGATCAGAAAAGAAAATGTTTATATTGTATTTTTTATTTTGAATTTCTTCAAAATAATAAAACTGGTGTACAACTTTATACAATGCTTTGCCTGCCAGAGAGTTTTTAGTGTTTTCCAGACACCTGGCAACACTTCAGTTCTGTCAGTTTGTTGATGTTTGGCCTCAGTGACTGAGCAGTTGAAACCTTCAGGATTGCATCAGATAGTTGTGTTCAGCATCTTGACTTGTTTATATTCATTGTGAAAAAAAGTGATGATGACTCTATGGCTGACTCTGCCCGGTGACTAGTGATGGTATCTCTGTCCCTCTCCCCCAGCCAATGGGAGCTGCACTAGACATTGCTGGCAGCATGTCTGCCTGCGTCTCTCCTCCGCGGGCTGCAGTGAGGGGGGTTCTCGGGTCGCAGATGGCCCACGGGGAGTCTCAGGCTCAGGCTCAGGCACACGGGGAGTCTCAGGCTTGGAGGGAGGCCACGCTGTCTTGCTGCATCAGGCACCAAAGAACAGTCAAGTCGCCATTAATGGCTCTGGCCCTCTGGGCGGGACAGAGCAATAAGCAGTCTCTAGTCCCAGCTTCCTGGCTAGGGCAGACAACAATCACAGTCTAAGGCTCTCACTCTCTGTAAGGGCCAGAGCAATGAGCATCGTCACAGACCTTTGGGCCTAAGGGAGTATTGAAGATAAGGTCCGTGCAGGATGGATCCCCGAGTAAAATTCCATGAATGAAGCTGAACAACCAAGTTAGCATTTGTACCCATGGGCAGATTAATTGATACTTAAGGTCACTCAGAGCAGTTTACTAAAGACAACCTACTTATGGCAGTTGATCAGAGTGCTGGGAAGGAAGGTAGAGGCAATTACTACACTTTGCTATATTTATGAATCCAAAAGTTACAAAACCTCATGACTCAATTCTGGATATGAGTCTTTATAAAAAAAATATCAAAAATTCTAAAAACAGGGTCAGTTCTGACATCTCCAAGTGCTGTGGTTCAGAGTTGTTCTATTTCTGTGTGCCAATTGGTAGATTTCATCCCTTCCAAACAGCAATTCTCAAAGCTCTCCCTTTATCCTTTTCTGACCAATACCAGAATATTTGTTTTACATTAATAGCAGATTTTTTTTGCAACTGCCTATGTGTGAAAGCAGACTCTTCTTCTCCTAACTTTAATGTCATAGTGAGTTCTATTAAACTTTCCCAGCACTACAAATTCTTTAGTAACATTTTTGGAGGGAAACAAGTAACCTCAGATGCGTTATGTGTATTCCTTGATATCAGTAACTTCAGACACTATTCAAGAATACTTTATAATGAGCTAAGGACAAGTTCTTGAATTTCTGGCTCTGCTGTGACCTATATAGCTGTAAAACGACAACGAATTGTGACAGATTGAAATCCTGTAATATCCTGGACAAACTTTATTGAATTAAGTTAAACCTTATTGAATTAGGGGTAATACCTCTGTGGTCCATTGTATTAAAAATGCAGTTGTGTATTGTTATTGTGGAATTGTATGTAATTCCCCTCAGAGAACGGGGATGCTGATGTAATTCCTCTGGTTATCAGCCCTTTGAAGTCACTCCCCTGGAGAGGTTCACATATATCAGTTCAAACTGGATTTTTGAGGGTCCAACAAAGAAAGGATTTTTGGATAAATAGCCTAGTTTTAAACAGGCTCAGGGCCTTCTTCCTGCTCCTGTAAATAGACAGGATCCTGGGTCCATGGAGGGCCCAATCCTTACAGAAGGGTTGGAAGGACTTGGCCTATTGAGGCCCGATAAAACTGGTTGCTTGTTAGAAGCTGATGCTGTGATGAACTTGAAACCAAAACAAAACCCCTTAGGAGGAGTGTGGAAGGACTACTCCTGCCAGAGTCCATGTAAGGGGTGGGGTGATCTCTGGTAAGCTTATTAGCAGGTAGGTAAGTTCCTTTTTGGCTTTTAATATGTTTTCTCTCTAATGCTTTTTACCTTAAGAACAAAGTAGGCTTTCTTAGAAAGCACTGTGTAGTAACTTATAACTGTGGGCAGTCACACTGCTAACTCTCTCTGAAGAGGATGCAAGCACATGTGTTTGGCCAATCTGTCCAAGCACGTGACAGTTACTCTGAACTATGACACTAAATTAACATTTCCTGTAGCTCTTTAATGCAAATTACACGGTATGATCCTTTCACTGGTATTTACTTCAGCAGCCGTCTGTAATGTGAAAGTAACCATAAAGTCAACACACTAGTGACGTACAGGAAATCTCTGTAATACGTTAGATTTCTGTCCATTCACACTGGGTTAACATTTGAATGTTGTACATAATTAAACGTTGAACACAGTAAATCAGACATCACACATATTGAAAAATCTAGGTCTCAAATAAGTGTATAAGAGACCACCAGATTGTCTTTAAATCCAATTGATTATAATAAAGAGGCATTAAAATTGCGTCTGGTTCAAGCATGTTCACATATCTGAGACTCTGTAACTGAAAAAACACCTTCCAAAAGATAAGCTTCCTGTTCACAGTTAGAAGTCTATTCATCACTAATCATCTGCATCTTTAAAACTAAGACCACTATTAGTAATTACCCAAACAACATTTATCTTAATACAAAAACATCTGAGTAAGCAAGCAATGTTGGGAAAATGTACTCAATGAAAGGTAAATTGATTTGGCAAGGTCTTGAAAAACATTCACTTAAAATAAGGTTTGCCATTGGGAAAAGCTCATACTGAAATCAATATTACTCACATTTCTTTAGGCAAGGTACCAACAATCCATTATAAAAAGTTACTGGTTATTGAGTTTATAAAAGAAGCAGAGAGGTCCTGCTATAATACATTTCCGCATACCCGTAAATGATACAGATCTAGCTCTGAGCTAGAGAACTACAATTGGACATGACGAGATTGAAGTTCTCTAGCAGGGTCTAAGAGTTAATTGGAGAAAAAGTAAGTGAGAACTATACCTGAAGAACAGGGCAGAAGAAGATCCATAATAACTGAATCCGCTCCTTTAGTGTAAACATTTATTTCATCTGTAAGGGGATGCCTAACCACCACTGACATTCTTTTTCTGATGGAATCGAAGCCCAGTGTGTGCAAGAGTTCAAAGGTTAACCTTCCCAGATGAGGTAGCTCTACTGATACCTGGTCAGTCAGCCTTCCAACCAGAGCACAGTTATATGCCCGAGCTGCGTAGACAAGCGCAGCTTCATCTGGACTCTCTGCCTCATAACGGAGTTCTCCTTCTTCAGGTCCACTCCTGATAGCCCTTCTGCCCTGCTGTGAGCTATATCCATTGTTATTCATCTGCGGAGAGTGTGCCAACTGCTCTTCCAGTTTTAATAAAGTGCTCTCAGTGGATGTAGATGAAAGGATACTAGAACTGAGTCTGGGCATGGATTTACTGGTAGTCAGGCTTGATGAACTGCTGCTGTTAGATCCAGAGGTCAGACGGCTGGGAGTGAATCTTCGAATGAAGTCTTCTATGGTCTTTACGGGTGACTTCAGTTCAAATCTAACTCTAACCTTGAGAAGTAAAAACCAACAGCCAAAAAAAGGATATATAAGAAATCTGACATTGTCATTTGATAACTCAAAGAAAGAAGCAAATCTCAGTCAATGGCAAAAAGCTACGACAATCAGAGATGAACAAGCAAGTGAACAAGAATCCCTAGGCTGACACTGTACCAGAAATATTACTGGAACCAGTTTGTATACGCTTCAGAATTTACACTATTGTTGACCCTTCCTTGTGGACCAATGTTAGAATCGCACCCTAAAAATAATGTTAATATAACTAAGACCTTTGCATTCTATGGGTATATCTAAGTGTGTAAATTCAGCTTCAGGAGACATACCCCTGCTAGCTCTGATCAAGCTAGCGCATTCAAAATAGAAGTTACTCTTAGGGGAATTCTGTGCCGCTGCGTGCGTGCATATTTTAAATTTTTTGCTCAGAAAAAAGCTTCTGCTGGAAAGTTGCTGCAGTTCTGCCTTTTGCCCATCAGAGGGAACTGTGGCGATAGAATAAAGCAGCAGCTCCTGGCCAGCTATGAAGAGAAAGAGGCTGCAGTGCCTTCTCCACAGCACCTGTCAGATCAGGTCAGGAGGTGGGGACTATGGGGGGAGATGGGTAGCGTGCGGCTGCTGGGGCATCAGACAGGGGCTCATAAGGGCTAGTGGGGAAGGACAAACTGAGGTAGGGGCTGAATGGGAGTGGAGGCACAGTGTCATGGGGGGGAGGAAGGTGCAAAGCCACATAGGGATGGGGAGAGGATGCAGAGCTACAGGAGGGAGGAGGATTGCTGAGTGGGGGCACAGACACATGTGGACAGCGGGAGGGGTGCAATGCCACGTAGGGATGGGGGATGGCTGAGTGAGGGCACAGAGACACATGAGGGCAGCGGGAGGGGTGCAGGGCCACATGGGGATGGTGGGAGTAGGTGTCTGAGTGGGGATGGAGGGACACTTGGGGACAGGGGAAGATGTACCTGAGTGAATGGGAGAGGCTAGCGGTCAGCCAGGGTTTTCCTGGGGGAAACTCCCTAACAATCCACCCCACACCCCAAAAGCTGTTCCATACTTTCCCACCCATATCCAACAATGTTCCAAGTTCACACCCAGGCTCCTTCCCAGCAATTACTTCCCTCTCTGTCAGTTCCTCCATTACTCCTGACTGCCCCCAAGCCTTTGCATTGCTCCTGAGGGGTGCAGGAAATATGGTTCTGTATTGTAGTTTAAATGAATTAATATGTCTAGTAAGGAATCTATTTGTCAAAAAATACATCCTGAATCTTTTGTTGTCTGTATTGTTACAGACATACTTACTGACAGGTATTTTGAAAAAAATGACCAAAAATAATTGAAACTAGTGTGTTTTTGACAAATAAAATATGCAAAATTTGAAAATATTGTGTGCAGTATTTTAAATATTTTGTTGCAGAATTTCTAATTTTTTGGCACAGAATTCCCCCAGGAGTAAGAACTGTGGCCATGTTGGTGTGAGCAGCAGAAGGGGCTACCCACACCGAGTATGAGCCCATCTGAGACTATAGGTATGTAGTTGGGGCAGCTAGCTCCTCCTGCCACTTGTGATGCTGTGGCTACATCACTATTTTTAGTGCACTAGCTTGATCAGAGCTAACCAGGCATGTCTCTTCCTACTGGGATTTACAAATTCCAGCTCTAGCGTAGACGTACCACTTGTGAGTATTCAGTAAAGTTGGTCAAAAAATGTTTCTGGAACACTTCTGTGGGAAAATGCAGCTTTGATGAAGCCTAAATGTTTCATGGGAATGTGTCCATTTCAACATAATTTTTGACCAGGCAAAGTTGAAAGAAATCATTTCAACTTTCTCTTTCATTCTGATAATGTTGAAACATTTTGTTTTGATAAGGTAAAATGTTATATTCCTATATCATTTTAATTCATTTTCTTCAGACTTGTATATTATACTAGAATATTAATTTACAATTATATTATATTCATTATATTTAATGTTATAATGTTTTAACATCAAAACAAAATGTTTCAATGGTTCCTAATTAAAATTCTTTGGAATTTTCATTTTGTGGGAAATTTTGACATTTCTGCTAAGAGAGAAAACAGATTTAGAAATGTTAGTATTTCCTGAAGAATGGAAACTCCAGCTTCTGACAAGCTCTAATATTAAGTCAAATTATATTTGTGTAATATGCATGAGATGGTGAGTATTTTGTTCCACTTCTCATTAATAAATGATACAATTTTGTAAGTGCATACGTCTGCCAAATCATCAGCTGTCATAATCTTGCCCAATTTATATTAATTTTCTTTTACATAATTTGCAACATTTAAGAGGAGATTTTGTCAGCACACCCTCTTTATAATATTTTAAAAAAAATAATATAGCCTTCTACAAATGTAGTTGATATAAGCAAATTATTTATAAAGAACTGCCTATGTGCCCCTTATTCCAGGGGACTCTGACAAATTAATCCAAACCATGCCCAGAGATGCAAATTATGTTTATTTAAGAAGTTTCAGTATGTGAACTCAGGAAGGAAAACAGTTTTAGAATGGCTTCAAAATTTGCAGTACATACAAATAATCTGTTGGGGTTAAGAGAAACAGTTGAAATAGACCTTTTAACTAATGCTTGACGTCACCACTAATTTTAAACTTGTATATGTTGTTTTCCTCACTGATTTATGAACTGGTGCCAAGAATTGTATCATAAAACATCTCAGTTTCCTTCTAGGAAAGAACTGTTTTATGTCTCCTATTTACACATCTCTGAGATAATCCAATACAACATAATGGAGACTCACGCTCCATTTTGCTGTCTCTCTAACCTACCTTTTGCCGTGGCTGATCTGGAGAGGTAACAACAACTGTATTGCAAATAGTCAATGCTATGAAAAAGTCAAAGATGTCAGAAAGTTCAGGGGTGAGCTGGGATAATGGTTGTTCGTGGCTTCTCATAACCTCAAGACTTCTTGCACATTCATTTACTTTTTCTAACAAATTAGGATCCGGAGTGATGTCTTTTTCCTAGAAATACAACAGGAACAGTATTACTATTTTGCAGCTTTGTATATTTTAAAGTCTCAGACTGAACTGGTTTTGCCTGATGCATCAGCACCTCTCTGGTGGCCCCATATATTTCTGGAGAATTTCAATTTTTCATTAAATGACACTTCCCCTGTTCTCTTTCCTGCAACCAGACATGCAGAAATTTGTACACTTTTAGGCCTTATGATTGCAACATTAATTTTATGAATGTAAATAGATACAGGGGTGTCTTCCTCTCCCTGGTAGACCACCTAAAATTGCTCTAAAAATGATGTGGACTGCCTCCATTAATTTCAATTGATAGTTAATACTGAAGCCTAATAATGACAATTACATTGTAAATAAACTATTGTTAATCCTTTAATTGCTGATCATTGTAACAGAAACATTCAGCTATTTTGGGATTGTGGATGGAAATCGAGTAATGTCCTGACATTCCTTCCTCTTTTCAATCTAACCTGAGAGAATTATTGTAGGCTGCTACTATATATAGACCTATATTACGAAAAACAAGACAACAACAAAACTAAGAGCTAGTTCTGACATCAAAACAGTAAGCTTACCCATTTTGCACCACTAAGAAATTGTTTAGCTCCACTATATTTTAACCACTTTGAACTTGAGAAAAGCTCATATGCCACTGAAATCACAATATGGCATGTTTTCCACTGTGATTAAACGGCTATTATATTCCTTTCAGGACAAAGATATGAATTTCCTAGGAAGGCATAATGCTGATTACAGAAAAGATACGAAGTGTGCTTCATAAAGATATGAGCCCTACAGTGTTGTCTTTATTGGGAATTTACTCGTTTCATCAGTTGTTGCACAACTAGTGAGGTAGCTGCACCACTACAAACCCCACGTGTAGACACTGCAAGCTGCAGGCTGTGCAAATGGAGGTTACCACTGCCTAAACCTGGGGTTAGCTCCTTCAGTGCAAATTGCAGCTTTCCTTTTCTACACTTGGGGGTTTGCACTAACGCAGCTTCATTGTTGACTGGACATCAACAGCTGGAACCAGGGCAGACTCTCAAATTATACAGGACCTAATTCTTCACTCCATTAAAGCAATTTAATTTTGTCAAAATTCCATTGTCTTCCATGTAAAAACACTGTAAGAGTAAAGCAGTATGTTCATGCAATATTAATGAGATAGCAATTTGCAGAAGGAAAAACATGCACATGACTCGTAAAAACACATGTAGAGATTAGTTATGGAAAAATTATGAGAACATTGTTCCACTTAAATTTTCTGCATATGCAGGAAGCTTTTGTTTGTTTGCTTTTTAATGTACCTTGCTCCATTTAATGATAATCTTGAACCACTCATACTTGAAACTATGGAATGACTTACATTTGCAATTACAGGGTGAATTTGAATATATGAATATCACAGTTTCCAATCCAGTGCTTACTATTCATGCATTTATAAATCACTGTTTCCCAAAAACTTAAGATAAAAAGAAGCGTACATAGACCAATTAGAACTCTTGATTTAAATCCTTAATCTAACATCAATTACTGTAAACAAAGGGATGAAACACATTTTTGTTCTTGAAAATCAAGGAATACCCAAAACAAAGGTTTGAATTTATCTTTCTGAACTTGGAGCCTAGACGGATGACTCTTTATATAAGATCTCTGCATACTTTGTTGTTTTTTTAGCAAAAAAAAAAAAGAAAAGAAAAGAAAAGAAAAATGTGATGAAAAGGAAAAAGCTAAGATGATGAAAGCCAAGAAAGATGAAAAATACACAATGTGGTATAGATTTCTTCATTTTTTCCCCCTTTAAAGCAATTGTGACTCTGAAAGATACAAAGCAAAGCACATTTGCTGCTCACAACGAACCATGGGGCTACTGAATGCAGTGTGCTTGGAGAGAATGCTTGCTCTTTTTGCTTCAGCCCTGCTGCCGGTGCGTCGGTGGGATTTCATACTCAGGCTTCTGTGGACAGCCTTAATGCTCTGATGACTGCTGACACTGTTCCGCTGGGATAATGTTCCTCCTTTAGCTGCTGTTTCTTCCTCCTCAGAATCAGCTTCCTGGTACATGGCTAAACGTCTGGCTATTGACAAAAATACACGAAGTATAAGATTACATGTTTTGTAGGGAAGAAGAGAGAAAGAGAAGTGGTGGCTAAAACTTTCTCTGTGTGGTCTAGTTTTAGTATTATATTGCATTTTACTGTAAGAATGAATGATGCTATTATTACAATATAACAAGCTAGTCTTAATTGAACAACAATATCTTTTGAGTAATGCAGGTAAAATAATTAGCAGTTTAATTCAGTACACTGCCTGCCTCATCTTCAGCTCAGTGTGACAAGGCTATTAGGTTCTTCAGTTGCTCACAAATCAATTGATGCCCATTATAAAATCTCCCTCCATAACATTTTTCTTGCCAAAACTATCCAAAAAATTTGCTTTTCAGTTATGGTCTCTGAAGGAAAAAACCTAAACTTTACTGTCCTCCAGCAAAGATTGGGAAATTTTGTCCCATGTATTTCTGCCCACAAAATTTCATAATGAATCTATCTATCTATCTATCTATGGTACTTATAAGGCTCTTAATATCTGAGCACTTCACAATCTTTCCATTTTACAAAGGGGAACTGAGGCACAACAAGTCTAAGTAACTTGCTCGAGTTCACATAGAAAGTCTGTGGCAGAGCAGGGCCAGGAAGCTAGGTTCCCAAGTTCTAGGCTAATCATTGGACCATCCTCTCTGAATGAAATCCTAAGCAAAACAAGCATGACAGTGCTAGGTAAAAGTACAGTAAATAATCAGCTGCAACAGGCCATCAACAATGATTTTTAAAATCTCACTCTATGTGGAGAGTCATAATGTAGCTTATGAATGCTGTAGGATTGAAAACTGCTATGAATCGGGTTATTGCAATGGCTTGATTCTATTAGTTATGTACTGCAGAGCACAAATATTAAGTGTACACAGAATTAAGTTTGCTTCAGAGTTTTCCCAGCAAGTTTTCCCATTTTTAAAATCAAATCTTTAATCAACTGTGTAACTACAAAAGTTAATGATGACGATCTACAGGGGCAATTTAATCAGCATAAGGAAGATATCACTGAACAAAAAAACGTGCAAAGCACTCTTGATGTAGCGCACATCTATTTCTAGCAGATTTCATTATTTCTAGGGCTATCAAGAGATTAAAAATTAATTGTGATAAATCCTGAGATAAAAACAATAATCACAATTAATCACAGTTATAATCACACTGTTAAACAATAACAGAATACCATTTATATAAATGTTTTCTACATTTTCAAATATATTGATTTCAATTACAATAGAATACAAAGTGTACAGTGCTCACTTTATATTATTTTGATTAAAATATTTGCACTGTAATAAAGATAAACAAAACAAAAGTATTTTTTTCAATTCACCTCAAGTACTGTAGTGTAATCTCTTTATTATGAAAGTGCAACTTACAAATGTAGTGGGTTTTTTTATATAACTGCATTCAAAAATAAAACAATGTAAAACTTTAGAGGCTACATGTCCATTCAGTCCTACTTCTTGTTCAGCCAATCGCTCAGACAAACAAGTTTGTTTACATTTATGGGAGATAATGCTGCCCGCTTGTTATTTAGTGTCACCTGAAAGTGAGAACAGGCATTTGCATGACATTGTTGGAGTCAGCGTCACAAGATATTTATGTGCCAGATGTGCTAAAGATTCATATGTCCCTTCATGCTTCAACCACCATTCCAGAGGACATGCGGCCATGCTGATGATGGGTTCTGCTTGATAACAATTAAAGGCAGCGCAGACTGACGCATGTTCATTTTCATCATCTGAGACAGATGCCACCAACAGAAGGTTGATTTTATTTTTTGGTGGTTCGGGTTCTGTAGTTTTTGCATCAGAGTGTTGCTCTTTTAAGACATCTGACAGCATGCGCCACACCTCATCCTTCTCAGATTTTGGATGGCACTTCAGATTCTTAAACCTTGGGTCAAGTGCTATAGATATCTTTAGAAATCTCATATTGGTACCTTCCTTGTGTTTTGTCAAATCTGCAGTGAAACTGTTTGTAAATTGAACAACATGTGCTGGGTCATAAAATAAGACGGCATAACATGAAATATATGGCAGAATGTGGGTAAAACCCCAGAGCAGGAGACATGCAATTTTCCCCTAAGGAGTTCAGTCACAAATTAAATTAACGCATTATTTTTTTAACAAGTGTCATCAGCATGGAAGCATGTCCTCTGGAATCGTGGCCGAAACAGGAAGGGGCATACAAATGTTTAGCATATCTGGCACGTAAATACCTTGCAGTGCCGGCTACAACAGTGCCATGCAAATGCCTGTTCTCACTTTCAGGTGACATTAAATAATAAGCGGGCAGCATTATTGCCCGTATATGTAAACAAACTTGTTTGTCTGAGCGATTGGGTGAACAAGAAGTAGGACAGAGTGGACTTGTAACCTCTAAAGTTTTACATTGTTTTATTTTTGAATCAATTATGTAAAAAAAATAATCATCTACATTTGTACGTTACACTTTTATGATAAAGAGATTGCACTACAGTACTTGTGTGAGGTGAATTTAAAAGTATTATTTCTTTTGTTTATCTTAGTGCAAATATTTATAATAAAAATAATAATACAAAGTGAGCACTGTATACTTTGCATTCTGTGTTGTAATTGAAATCAATATATTTTAAAAAGGTAGAAAAACATTCAAAAAATTTATAATAAATTTAAATTGGTATTCTGTTATTAACAGTAATATGAAAACTGCGATTAATTGCAATTAATTTTTTTAATGAAGTTAATTTTTTTTAGTTAATCGCTTGAGTTAAGTGCCATTTATTGACAGCCCTATTTATAACTGATGCAGATCACATTTATACAGTCAACAAGAATCATGGCCATTTAGTAGTTGGGCTTTTCTTTCAGTAGATAGGCATTTAGCACTAACATTTATCCATTTTTCAGGTATTCACTGAAAAGACTTTCATTATACTCAGAAACCAAAATATAATAATGCACAGTATACTGGATGCAGATGCACAGTATCAGTTATGTACCAAAGTCTTCACTTTCTATCAATTCTCTGTTGTAACCAATCAACCTTTCCCAATGTCATGTACTAAATCACTAATGTACAAGTTCATTATTTTGTGACTTGACATGCAAACAATGTAACATTAAATATTTCCATTAAAACATTAATTGGAAACAAAACCCTTGCATTACAGTTAACTGATTTCATTGTGGGATTTCTTTTAATACAGCTAAGATTTAAAAAAACCCCAAACAATCTATAACCCAATGTAATCTTCATAACAATCTTAATCTCTCAGAAAGTAGCCACAGGAGTTAAAATCAGATAGCGCACAATATCTAGATACTACTACTAGCTCTATTGGTTGTATGTCAGTAAAGTTGGGCAAGATTTTTCAAAAGAGTAGTTTATTTGACCAAATATGCAGTTTCAGGAGACCTAAAACTACTCGCAAAGTTGACAAGAATAGTTTGAGTCATTCACAAAATGGCCAGAAGAGACTTTTTCGATTAATCATAAATTCTAAAACATTTCAGATTCAGTTCAACACAAACTGAATTTTTTTTTTAAATTTTTCAGAACTGTCATTAAACCAACCCTCCCCCAGATCAGTTATTTGCCCAACTCTATAGGTGGTACAGTCCTCTGAAAACCTAAATATACAAAAAGAGCCAGATCCTGAGTTACAGCTAAATAGCACTCAGGAGGGTAGAATGCAAGAGTGCCCTTTGTATTTCCCCAGTTCAGTACCAGTCAATATCCCTGGTACAGATTAGAGTATCCTGAAGACTGTGCTAAGGTGCATGGGCAGCCAATGGACCTCAGGGGTCATTCTGCCAGTAATGGACCACTGGAACACAAGGATGCCCAGGTCACATTGCCTGCACCAGCAGACTCAAGTGGCTTGCTAAAATGGCTTTAGCGCAGTACCGTTTCAGTGCACATTATAATGCTAGATGAAAATGTACTTGTTGCTCTTCACCAACATTTTATTAAAAGTATGAGTATTTTTCAGGGCAAATGCTTACGAGGGGACCGCCAGTTTCAGCTCCAGCGCTCCTCCCAAAGGTAATGCCCCAGTGTGCTCCCCCAAAGCTGAAACCGGGAATGGAGCTGTGGGGAGCCCAAGCCCTGGTGCTCCCTGCGGTACAGAAGCCAGGAATGGAGCCGCGGGGCTGAAGGTCTGAGCCGCAGCGCCCCCTCCTAGATCTAAAGCCCTGAGCCCTGGTGCTCCGGAGGGTCAGAAGCACTGACCCCGCCCCCCTGCTTGGAGCCCTGACATCCCTCCCTCCCATGGCTGCAGCTTCAATCCCCCTCAGTGGCTGAAGTCTGTAACATCTTGTTCAGAGTTAAGGACATTTCAGAGTTACGGACAATCTCCATTCCCGAGGTGTCCGAAACTCTGAGATTCTGCTGTACACACCAACGTACTCTGGGAAACATATGCTCATTTTCATTAGCATGTTTTCATCTCAAAGCAGTATTACCAATTCACTTTGCTAACCATCAAAGATACACTTTTACGGCAAGCTTCGGAGCAGCACCCTCAATTCCCAACAGAGTCAATGGGAGTTGTGGGCACTCATCGTCTCACAGGAACAGGCCCCAGTGGCCTAAGATCTCAGACTCAAATTTGCCACAAGCAATAATCTTTCTTACAGTTGATAATGTGCACTTGAATGGCATGCCCAGGGAATGTCATACTGCTCTGTATTATGCACCTTTGCCCGGGAAAAGGACCAGACAAAATGACTACTTTTATCATTATAAAAAGTTCCACACAGCTGGTCAAGCTCTTCTCCAACTATACTGGTTAATAACAGGTCACGGCAGTTTTGGTTGAATGCCTGACTTGCAGAGTCTTTCCAAATAAATATGAGAACTTATAATCACATTCAGGAAAAGTTTCTGTTTTGAAAACATCTTACAAAATGCAGGACTCCATGCACAAACCCTGAGCTAATTATTATTTTATTCCAGACACACAAATCAGAAGCTAAGTGAAAATGCATTACATGGAAAAT